TAGTAGTTTTTTTTCTAGCCACGATCTTCTTAGCAACATTCTTTTTTGTGTGGAAATATTGCTAATTTCAGGCGCCTTACCCCTACTGACTTGTGCAATCTCTTTAGCATGAATCTAATTATCATATAATTAGTTAGGGGAAGTATAAAACCAAAAATTAGAATTTCTCATAGCATAAATGTCATATAATTATGTTGTACCTCAATTGATGCAACTGACTCGGTTTCCCGCCTAATCCCCTTATAGTTTGGAATGGATTTTGTTGGAGTCTAGCATTACCATGTAAACAAAATGTAAGTAAAATTTCCTTAAAAAATTTGAATAGTAAATGGTTTTAAACATACCTCATCATCTATGCAAACGAGGTTTGACGGTCATGCAACAAATGATCCTATTACATCTGCCACCAATGTTGCATCCACTACATCGTCAGGTAGTGGTAACAACGCACCCCCATCTAAAACAACATCAAACGATAATTTCAAAAATCCATTTGGGAGCGGTTTATGGTGAAGCATTTCTCCCATAGTATTCTACACTTTTCCCTTGCCAACCATCCGATAAGTCGGTGACGATAAATAGAGTTGACACCGAGAAATTCCCTACAACCATTAATAAATATGGTTATACAATTAATAAATATGGTATATAATTACCTCGGGAATATTCAATCCAAAGTTACCATTGATACTATCTTTGTCACTAGTATATTTAAAACCTGTAGCTCGATCTATTTCTTTTTCCTTTCTCAGCTCATAAACTTCTTGTTGTAAATTTTCCAACTTTTCCTAAAGTTCTTTATTGCTAGGAGTTTTTGTCTTTGATTTTTTCTTCAAGGATGTTGGAGTGGTCCCAAATCCCTTACCCCTCACCCGACCAAAATACTCACGAATATCTAATGCTCGACTAAGTATTCTCCTACAATCATTATCTTCATCTGGAGATATAGACTAAGAAAGAGTCTCCTGAAATTCATATGAATATTTTAATTAAATAATGATATGTTAATAAAATAATGAAGTAATTAAATAAATAAAAGAATGATGTAATTAAATAAATAATGTTATACTTACACATCTCTCGAAAATTTGTTGAACATTTTCTTTAACAGCTCCATCCTTACACATACGGGCTTCCTTCCATAAAACATGTTCTGGAAAAGATATTTCAGAACTATTCTCCTTTGTTAACTACACATTAATCCAAATAACATGATCAAATATAAGCATGCATGTATTATAGATACTTTGTAATTTATAGATACTTACAATAGATTGTTGTAAGCGTGCATATCCCATACACCCTTTTCTGTATGGATATGCGGGACTTGATGCTCGTTGTCGATTTACGATACTTAAACTCTCAAATTTTTGGGTTTTTCTTTTGTATTTAAAAGTTTCCCATTCTTCAGGTGTAATCAAATATTTATATTTATTTGGAAGCTCTGCATCAACAAAATTTTTATCTGCATCCCTAAGAAACTTGTTTGATAAAAAAGCTCTAAACCCTCTATGTAATTTTCTGGCCAATTTAAGTATATAATCTCTCCTGGTATCCTCAATGTTGAACGACCTCTACGAAAATCATACACAAAGTGCGTTAGTATAAGTAATTTAAAGACATAATAGTCATTAACAACAAATAACATCACATATGGTACTTGTATCTCACTCCATATTTTATCTTTAGCGTCGTCCAACACTATTGCTCTCCAATCTTCACAAGTAATTGGAATTTCTCTCCTTACCACCGAACCAAGATAACTCATCAACATTGAACCGTTAGGCTCAATTAGTTGGCCTTCTTGAATCCAATGCACATCATACTTTATGCCTCAATCTCCATCTCGAATGATTCTCTTTATTATTGCTATTCCTCGTCTAATTTCCATTTCCATTTTATTAACGGGCTTATCTCCATCATGCCTAGAATCATCATGTGGGTGATCCTCGTTAGTAGCCATCTAACATGTAATAAACATAAACATAAACCCAATATAAAATTCCATAATCATTTGAATATATATAAAATGACAAACACAAACATTAACATAAACATAAACTTAAACGTAAACACAAACATAAACATAAACATAAACATTTTAATATATTACTTATTTCACTAACATGTCTTTCTTTTCTTGGTTGGAACATGAATTACTTGTTTCTTAACAATGTCGACGAATGGATTTATCTAAATTCCCTCATTATGATCATTTCTGATATATAATTCATCCGCTATAATATTCTCATCTTGATCATTTATAATATACAACTCATTCCGTCTAATACATGACTCATTCTCATCATCAATATCACCTTGGTCTACACCGTTATCATCAACCACTTTTTTAGATAAAAGCACTATAGACCATTTTGTACTCGTCGGGTCAGTGACATAGAACACTTGTTTAGCTTGAGAGGCTAGAATAAAAGGCTCATCTTTGTACCCCTCCCTATTAAGATCCACTTGCAAAAATCTTGACTTATACATTCGTATGCCACTACTACTTACCCACTTGAAACCAAAGATAGGAATCTGAAACTTATCATAATCAAACACCCAAATATGCTCGATAACCTCAAAATATGACAGATTTGCATATTTGGGGTTTAGGTCCTTCATACTTGAAATGTGCATTGCTTCAGCAAGCACAGTGACACCACTATTTTGCATAGTACTTTTATCATCTTGTTCTTTATTATAAAATGTGTATCCATTAATTGCGTATGCGCTATAAGAAAACACATGCAAGAATCTACGATGACTGAGAAACACATTCTTCTGACAAAGTTCCAAACACATCGTATCGGTTCCATCTTCACAAACACGACACGCACGTTGACCTTTAATACTATACCCAGATAGATTCCCGTATGCTGGAAAATCATTAATTGTGCCAAACAACATCGCCCTCAAATTGAAAATTTCTTTCCTATATCCATCATAAACCTCCACCCTATTCTCCCACAAAATCTTTAAATCTTCGATCAAAGGTGTCAAGTATACGTCTATGTCATTCCCTGGTTGTTTAGGCCCATAAATTAACATAGATAACATCATGTACTTACGCTTCATACATAGCCATGGAGGTAGGTTATAAATCATAAGAATCATAGGCCATGTGGTATGTGAGATACTTTGAAGACCATGCGGATTCATTCCATCAGTAGATAAATCCAAGCGAAGGTTTATTGCTTCTTCTCCAAAATCAGGATAATCATTATCAATTTTTGACCACTGTGGTGAATCTGTTGGATGTCGATACTTTCCATCAATAATTCTTTCATATGCATGCCAAGTCAGGTGTCTTGCATCAGTTTCACTACGAAACATGCGCCTAAATCTCGGAATTATAGGAAAATAACATAAGACTTTTGCTGGAGACAATTTTTTCTTATATCGAGACAAACCGCATTTAGGGCACTCATTTAACGATGCATATTTGTTTCGAAACATAATGCAATCATTTGGACAAGCATGTATCTTATCATAGCTCATGTCAATAGAGTACAACATTTTTTTGGCCTCATTGGTCGATTAGGAAGAACATTATCCTCTGGAAGCATATCTCTCATAAGGGCTAATAACTCTGAAACTTTTATCTGACCATCCATTGCTCGCCTTTAAGTTGTACAACTTTAATACCGCAGACAGTATTGTGAATTTAGTGCAACCTTTATACAACGATTTCTCTGCATCGCTTACCGATATCTCAAACATTTTGGGACAATCCTGAAGATCTTCTTCAAGTGCATATGTAATCTCTTCAACTCGATTAAAATCGTACGTATATGTGTCCTTGTCGTCTGAAGCATAGGCCATACTACTTTTCTCCCCTGGTTCAACATTGTCGTTACTGTTTTCACCGTGAAATATCCAACACGTATAACTTCTATCAATTCCATGCATTAGTAAATGCGATTTCAATCCATCTGTGTCAACTCGACCCACATAACAACAATCCAAGCAAGGACACTTCATTCGACTGAGGTCTTTGGCGTGTTCAACAACAAACTTAACGAATTCCAATACCCCATTCTCGTACTCTTTTGACAATCGATCAACAAACATCCATTTTTTATCCATATTTTTCTACTAATTAAAGTAAACAAAAACACTATAAATAGATTATTCCCTTTTTGTATGAATTAAACGAATTATTTCTAGAAATTTATTTCTAGAGTTATTAATATGGACTAAAAATAAATATATCTATATGAAAATAATTTTGTTTTTTAATTGATACAGATAGAATGTTTTATAATATAGGAATGAGATAGTAAATAAATAAAAGAATCAGTAATGTTGAATTTGAACTTGACTTACCAAAGAAAGAAAAGGGGTTATTGGTGTCGACGGCGGATGATGAGGCTTTGATGTTCTTCGAATCGGTGATGATCTTCGACTAACTACACCAATACAAAGGGATCATCAAAAACAAACAAAAATAGTCTATTTAGGAGGCTAATGAATTTAGGTGTCAGTACACATGAACAAAATAGGAAAAATAGTATATACACTATAAGAAGATTAATACAAACTTTTAGAAATATTTTGTATGATTTAAACGGATTATTTCTAGAAATTTAGTACCTATATATCTCATAACCAAACTCTACTAATTAACTATATATATATATATATATATATATATATTATATATATATATATATATATATATATATATATATATATATATATATATATATATATATATATATATATATATATATATATATATATATATATATATATATATATACTAAATATGAAGTGAAGTAACTAGTCCTTATGTTGTAGTTATGCTATTAAAATCATGAAAATTTGGATATTTACTATGATTGAATGTCTAATGAGATGAAATAATTTAGAGGACTAACACCCTATATGATTAAATAACTTATTTCCATGTTTATCATATAATTTCTTATATTATAAGTCATTTATATGAAATAAAGAAGAAGAGGTAATAAGTTACTACCTTTGAATTGTGGATGTCAACAAATCTTCTTAGCAATAGTACTTTGCCCAGAACCATACAAACCAGTGGCGGAGCCAGAAAAATTATGAAGCCTGGGCAAGATAGTACAACAATCAAAGGAATTATTTCCTTGAATTGCAATTACCTCTTCAATTTGTAAGATTTCGGATTTTATAATATATACATGTTAAAATTTCGGATTCTATAATATATACATGTTACAGTATTTCAGGTGTGCTCACAAAATGAACAAACCTATAAAAGCCGAGAAAATTAGTTCAACACGCTCATTTGTGTGAAATTAAGTACTGCCTAAAAACACCGCTATCAATTCAAATTTCAAATAATGTTGTCAAATGCAGATCGGCGAAGTGGTGGTTTGTTAAAATTCCGGTATGCTACAATGTTGTAGAGCCATTATTTGAGAACACATTATACTAAGTAGCATAACAAAAAACAATAGGGATGTGATCAAATTCCGCTACACTATAGTACAATAGCTATAACTGCTATTTAACAACAATGATTCCAAGATATGCCAATCTAAGTTATCAACAAATAAAAAATTATGATAACAAGCCATACCTTTCAATAGTTCCTCTGGAAAACCATGTGGCATCGCTTTCGTGCTCAGGCACAAGAACAATTGAATAACCAACCTTCGCCATTTGATCTTGAGCAACCTTCAAGTGGAAGTGAAAGGGGTTGAACAAACCTGAAGCTATTTTCTCCTTCTTTCCATTCACAGTAATGACTAAATCAAACCTAATTTACACAAGAGCACAAAATCACTTGATCAATTAACTCACAGAGATTAATCAGTGACATAAAAATAATATCATATGTATAAACAAAATATAGTTCCTTCAGTAAGTTTTCTCATTTCTTAAACTCAACTTCTATAACTGCATGTAGCAACTACATACATTCTCCCAATAAAACTGTACTCCTTTTTTTATCAATCTTAAAAAAAAATTCCTCAAATGATATTTTTACAGCTCAGATGAAAATTCTAAAATCACTGAACTAGAACATTTCTTAAACGAAAGTACCTCCTCTTGAGCTTCCTTGGAACACAGGTAAAAATTAATCCTCTCCAATACCTGACCATTTTCTAAAATATATCTGGCAATACTTAATCCACGCACATGACCAACAAATTTTTTAAACTTCAGCACTTTAAGAGTATAAAGCAAACAATGAGGCACAATTAGAGAATTCATCAGCATTCCATCTCCACACATATTTTATCAATAGCAACATAAAAAATCTATGCACGGTAATGATGAAGATTAGTGATAGTCCTCCCTTCTGCTATTGAACGATCCCGAACTGGTATTTCTTCATCCATATTTGGTACCAGAATACTTTTAGCAACACAAAGTGGATCATGCGGAGTACCATAGATGCTTAGGATGCTAATACCTTCCCTTTGCATAACCGACCCATGTACCTCGATCTCTGATCTTTTATTTTATTATGGATTTTGTTTGCTATTTTCCCATTTCCCTTTGGAAACAATAAAGTACAGTGGCGACTTCATTGAGTGAGATAAGTCAATTGATGGCTTAATCTCAAATCTTTACCGCTACACACCTTTTTCATATTTTTTTACATGGTGCGACATCACGGTGCTTGACACATGAGATGCGCAAACTATTATGACTACCAACGTGACCTTTCAAGCCTTGAGATGTATGCTTCCAATCTCTATATCCGCATTTAGTGAAAACTTCAAAACTAAAGTGCTCGGTCCTCCCGAATTGCTTAAAGAGAAAGAAATAAAAACAATAAGCTGCATCCTTGATCTCACTGTATTCTAACCATGTATAATTCTTATACGATGATTTACTATGCTTATTTAACACTTCCAAATGGAGTACGAGGAAAGCTTGGCAAATCTGATTGCATTGGACCCTTCAATATATATGCTCTCCTAACTTGGTCTTGAATATCCTGAGCATACTCACTAATTTTTTTCCTACGACCTGGATCATGCACAATCTCATTTGGGTTAAACTCATTAACCACATTAGACGGTGGTTCTAATTCGACTTCCGGTTGTACGACATTCACATACTTGCTCTATCAACTAGAAATCTCCTCATCTATGAAATTAAATGATCTTAAGTTAAGTTAATACTCAATTAACAATTAGATAATTTATACATTCACTTGCAATCATATAAAGTATTGAATCTGGAAAAAAAATTCACTTGCAATCATAGAAAGTAATTTTTAATAAAATACATCATATAGTTTCATGGCAGGGGCGATTTTGTTTTCATATAGCTTAATAAAAATATTCTCTTGCAATCATAGAAAATAATAAAGGTTTTATTTTCATAAAATATTGAATATGATAGTTAAGCTTCATGGCAGGCAGAGGTGGTTTCACCATCTGCTCAAATCATCATGACATCATATAGTTTCAATCTAAATAAAATAAAATTAAAAAGCATATGAATGAATAGAAAGAACAAGAGGCAGAAAAAAAGAAGAGGAAAATAGTATGCCGAATCGATTAGTGCTTGAATATAATAAACTAAAACTAATTTAGAAAGAGAGGAGGAAGGAGTCTGTCGCCGTCGCGGAGAAGGGATTGGTGGTGCTGCAGTTAGGTTTACTTTTGTTTTTGCCCTTTTTTTTCTTTTTTTTCCATTTGAATTTTTTGCCTTTTTTTATTTTTTAATTAAAATAAATTTGGGCCAGACTAAAGAGCCTGGGCAGTTGCCCAGGGTAGCCGCATGCTAAAACCGCCTATGACACAAACCAGTCAAATAATGATCTACACCATAAAAGAAATAGAATCCGACATCTATCGGGTATTAAAATTTTACACAGACAAATCAATTCAATATCAACTTCATAAACTTATGCCATTGCCAACAAGAATCGTGCTACAAACAATTTCTCTATTAGCTTGCTCTTAGCCATGTTAATGCACTCTAACAAATAAAAACACTTTCCAAATTGATTTTACACAATAATATTGAGCATTTTAGTTTATCATGATTTTAGTAAAACTCAGATTCAAGAAAGAACTTACCTTGAGAAAGGGTCGGTCGACGGTGGAGGACAACCGAGAGAGAAGGTGGAGGACGGAGGGAAAGGGTTGGTCGGACGAAGGATGGCAGATGGAGCTTGGACGACGGCGGAAGGAGCTTGGACAGCGACGAGTTTGTGAAAATAGAAATAGTAGGGTATTCTATTTTTTAATTTTAATTTATATGACTTTAGACAATGCTTTTTAGAAGCGTTGTCTAATATGGGCCTTTAGCAGCGCTTTTGGGATTTTTTTATTATTAATTTTATATGACCTTAGACAGCGCTTCTGAAAAGCGCTGCTAAAAGGGGTGATTTAGTTGCGCTTTCTGAAAAGCGCTTTCTAAAGTAACCATTTTCGATGCACTTTTCAGAAGCGCTATCTAAGGTATGCCTTTTAGCAACGCTTTTCATAAGCGTTGTCTAAGACAGGCCTTTTAGTAGCGCTTTTATTCATTTTCTTATACACTTTCCGTGTTTTGTTTTTTATTTAACTTATAGCAGCGCTTTTGTATAAAAGTGTTGTCTAAAGTGTGTTGTCTAAAGTGTGTTGTCTAAAGTCTATTTTGGCGTAGTGGCAGTACGATGATGGTGGAGGCGGAGACGGGGAAAAAAAGGTTTGCAGGAGGAAATGAAGGAAACTGATTCGGAGGTGGAGACGCAGTCGGTCCGGTCGAGAGAAATGAAGGTTCGGAGGCGCGCGTTAACGTAATGAACTTTTGATAAGGATATTGGGGTTTTGTGAAATAAAGGGAAGTTTTTACATTGGTTGGGCAATGAACCCAATCTAAAGGTCAGTATGTTACATCGGGTGGGCCTTAAATCAATGTAAAGTCCGATTTTTTTTATAACTAAAACTCAATTTATTTACAAAACTGTCACCGTATTTTTATTTGTTTATCACTAAACTTTTCACATCGGGGATAAATAAAGGCCCCATGTAAAATCTTTTATAAAAATTTTCTTTTTATTTATCAAACTTTCACCTTATTATATTTTTCTCTAAATCACATATTTTTCATATCATGAAAAATAAAGATCTGATGTAAAATCTTTTGAAAAATATTTTTCACATCATATATTTTTATAATTATATAAATTTTTTTTCTCAAACATCATATTTTTAGTAGTGATTTATATTTTTAGTAGTGATTTATGCAACAAATTTTAACATACTACCTTTTTACATCAAAATATATTGTTGGTTCAAATCAAAGTGAACATACAATTGTAAAAACAAAAACTACAAAATAAAATTTTAAAATCACTTGCAAAGGTTGTATTTACTCTAAAAAAATGACCAAAAATGATACTAATTGGCCTCTGAAAACAAGTTTGAAAGTGATGAAAGGTATTCAACGTTCAAGTTTGTGCAATGCAATCATCATCAACAATTCAACATCAACCATACACTATTCATTAGATGAAAATTAAAGTGTTGACCGAATAATCCCTCCAAGTTGAAACGGAAAGTTCTTATTCTTTTCTTAATTACCGTCAGCCAAGAATGAGAGCGTCAGTGTCACACACCTTCTCCTCACATTTTAGATAAAAAAATTTAAGAAGACTATTTTTTAAAAGAAATTATTTTACAGAATAAAAATGAAAAAAAAAATTTAGATTTAATCCAAAAATAAAATAGAGTAATATATACAAAATAATATAATAAATGTGGGACCCTTTTGAGACTTTAGTGGTCTATAAAAGGAGCTTAACTGGTTCTCATTCCTAGGATCAACAACTTCCTACTCTTAATCACACATTCATTTCTAATATTTCTTGCTTAATTGTCGTGGATTTTTAATCTATTATATAGAGATGAATTTAGTGAACAAGTGTAAGAAGGTATGGGGAAGCAACAATAAATTGTTTGATTCAAAAGAAAGTCCTGGCAGTTGCAGCTATGACAAATTATCAGAAAAGTGTCACAAAGATATTACTAAGAAACCACCAAACGGTTGTGTTTGCGTCTATGTTGGATCTGAGAGACAAAGATTCATAATCAAGATCAAAATATTGAATCATCCTTTGTTCAAGTCACTTTTGGAAGATGTTGAGAATGAATATGGATATAGAAACGATGGTCCTTTATGGCTTCCTTGTGAGGTTGACTTGTTCAATGAAGCAGTTGTGGAGATAGAGAGTGCTGTTGGTTGCATCTTTCGAGTTTCACGTTCTTCATTGTCCTGTCGTTCTAACCTCAGTTGTGCTGCCAATTACCAGATTTTGGTATAAGGTTGTAAAATCAACTTTTGTAGATTGTATATGTGTGATAAAATGGACTCATGTTAGTTAATATTTTCAGTTAGAGTTAACTGTTTTTTGCAACTGTTTCTGTTTACAGTTAGTTAGTTAGCATTTTTGTAGCTATAAATGTAATTGTTCTTAGAGTTTTTTAATCATTCAATCATTCTTGTTAAAAGATAAAGAATGTTCTGCATTCAACAATCTACACTTTGTGTAGATTCTGTAATTTCAAAACTCGATCCTTTTATAGCAGGAGATAAGAACTATATACTACTTTTTACAAGTGGGCCAATGTAATGACCTTCACAACTAACTCCACCAATTGCTAACAGCCTAACAGATTCTCAACAGAAAACCAATTATAAAAATACAGTTGGAATTATACACCTATTTTAATATATATCTAATACTCTCCCTCAAGATCAAGATGGTGGCAACATTACAACTTTGAGCTTGTCCCTAAATTGTTGAAAAATAGCAGTAGAAAGGGGCTTGGTCAGAATATCTGCTAACTGAGCAGCAGCTGGAACATGTTGAATCTTGAGCTTGTTGGTCATAACTTTTTCCTTTACAAAGTGAAGATCCAATTCAACATGATTGGTTCTTGCATGAAGAACAGGATTATGAGACAGTAGAACAGCACTGAGATTATCACATAACAGGGTAGGAGAGAAATATTGGATCTTTAATTCTGTCAGCAGAGATTCCAGCCATAAAACTTCTGAAGTGGTGTGAGCCAAAGCCCTATATTCTGCTTCAGCACTGGACTTTGCAACAAGCGACTGTTTCTTTAAACTCCATGATATGAGATTTGGTCCAATGAAGATGCAAGTGCCAGAAGTTGATCTTCTATCATCTGGATCATTAGCCCAGTCAGAATCACTGTAGGCTCTTAGAGATAAAGGTTGATTAGGAGTAACAGGAGACATGAGTAATCCCATTTTGGCAGTGCCACTCAAGTACCTGAGTATCCTCTTTACCATACTCCAGTGGTTGTGTAAGGGAGAAGCCATGAATTGGCAGGCTTTGTTGACAGAGTATGTAATGTCAGGTCTTGTTAAGGTAACATACTGCAAAGCTCCTACAATAGATCTGTATAGTAATGGTTCTTCCATGAAATTAGTGCCATACTTACTAGGTTTGCAGTGGCTAAGCATTGGTGCTCCCACTCCATTAGTTGTGTCCATATTGACTCTAAAAAGGAGATCTCTGATATATTTTGTTTGAGTCAGTACCACTAAGCCATTGGTTTGATAATGCACTTCCAAACCTAAGAAATATTCAGGCTTGCCAAGCTTCTTCAGAGCAAACTGATGATGCAGTTGATTTATCAGCTTGTGAACAAGGTGAGAGGATGAACCTGTAACTAAGATGTAATCCACATAAACTAAGGCATACATAATAATTCCTTTATGATTGTAAATGAACAATGAGAGATCACACTTGCTAGCCACAAAACCAAAATGGAACAGTGTTGTAAGTCTCAGAGTGCCTAAGAGGGGGGGGGGGGGGGGGGGTGAATTAGGTCTTATAAGATTTATTCGGTTTTATGAGAATGCTTGGTAGTAATTTTGGTTAAGTGTTTGAAGGTTTTGATTATATCTTTATCTTTTCTTGATTATGGTGATGAAAGCGATAAATGCGGAAAAGTAAAGAACACGGTGATATATCCTGGTTCCCCTCATAATCCGAGAGTACTCCAGTCCCCTTTCCAACACGAAAGAGATTTCACTATAGTTAGAATGATTGTACAGCCTATGCTTACTATCTAACCTATAGGGTGATCAAAGGTTCTTAACACCTTTAAGACCAAACAAACACTAATGTGAATGAAGAACAATCCTCTTCAAATCACAACACTTACTTCCAACAATCCTGGATAGTAAGGGAATAATTTCTTTAAGTAATACAATGATTTAGTTTGAAGTATATGGAGAGCTTTATCAATCTTCAATTGATCTTCTTCTTCAAGATAAAAACAATTCTCAACAATGTATATAAATGTTCACAATGTATGTATGAAACTTGTAATGATAATGAAAGTGTATATGGCAAGTTTCACAAAATTATGAACACATGAAAGTATGAATTCAAATGTGAATGAATGAGAAAATTGTTTATTGAAGAATTTTTTGTTAATTTGAAAATTGAAGCATTCTTGTATATGTTTGAAAATAAGAAAATCTGCATTTTATAAAGTTGTAAGAACCTCTTCATTCATGTCAATTCATATGAAAAGTTGCAATGCATTCATGAAAAGATACCACTTGAAAAATGTTCAAAAAACAAAGTAAAAGCTGCACTGGTTCGCTAGGAACCGGTTCCGACACTAACAGAACCCGGTTCTTAGTGAACGTTATAAGTTGGAATTCAAAAATATCATGCAGGAACCGGTTCCCCTATTGGTACAACCCGGTTCCTGGTACAAAATCCAGGGACATGTTTTTTGAGAAATTCTAGAACCCGGTTCCCTGTTAGGGAGGAACCGGTTCCTAAAGGGTTATTTTCAAAAATACTTTTTGAAAGATATTTCAAACAAAGTTTTCTTGATCTTAAAGTTATGGAATATGTATATGTTGATGAATGCATATTGTGAACATCTATATTCAAGATTTTAAGAATTATTTATACCATATTGACATTTGATGATTCTTCAATAATCTTCAATAATCTTCAAGACTTTTATTTGATGTTGATAAGCTTTTTGTACATCCTTTGAATGTTGATGTCCATGTTGTCTTCATCAAAACACATGCTTTAAATATGACTTGAGAAGCTTGCAATTACAAGTGTTTGGTGTAATTTCTCATACCAGGATCTGGGTGCCTGCTTGAGCCCATATAAGGCTCTATTCAACTTGCATACCAGAATTTTGTTCTCATTCTCAAATCCAGGTGGCTGTTGCATATATATTTCTTCCTGCAGAGCACCATTTAAGAAGGCATTGTTGATGTCTATCTGTTGTATTTCCCACTTATGAGTTATAGTTAGGGTTAGAATAACTTTGATAGTTACTAGTTTAACAACTAGACTGAAGGTTTCATGAAAGTCAAGGCCATATTGCTAATTGAAACCTTTGGCAACCAATCTGGCTTTGTGTTTGTTGATGGTTCCATCAGAATTTTCCTTCAGTTTAAACACCCACTTACAACCTATGGGTTTTCTGTGTGAAGGTAAATGAGTAAGTGTCCAACTGTTTTTGGCCAGGAGAGCATCAAACTCCTGTTTCATAGCCTCAAACCATTCTGGTTGACCTAAGGCTTGTTTGTAGGTGACTGGTTCATAGTGTGCAAGAAAGACTTTAGGTTTAAGGTTACCTGTTTTGCTTCTAGTGACCATAGAGTGATTGTTAGTAACTAAAGCAGGAGAAGAATGAGTATAAGGAATAACAGCAGCCAGGGATGGACCAGATTCCTGATGTACAGGATTTTGATTAGTTAATTCAGTGTCATGAGTGTGAATATTTGGTGTATCTTGTGTGGGTTGAGAATGAAAAGAGGTACTTTGAGAGGACTCTGTTTCTATCCAAGGGTTCATCCTGAGTGGAGGAGGAAATTTGATTATTAGAGCACGTATGATTATGTTCAATGGTCATGGACTGGTTTTGAAGAGAATGTTGAGGTGTGTTATTCAAGGACAGGACAGGTTGAGTAGCCCTGCTACCATTAGGTATAGAAGTATCACAGGGAGCAGAAAAGTATTGCTTTGTACAAGTAAAGGGATAGACTTAGTGGGTCCTGTTTTGACAGATTGAAGTTGATCATTGAATGTTGGGAAAGGGAAGACTTTTTCATTGAAAATGACATCCTTGGAAATATAAATCCTAACTTCTTTGATAAGACATTTATATCCCTTATGATGTGGAGAAATTCCAAGATACACACACTCAGAGCTTTTTAACTGAAGTTTATTTTTATTGTAGGGTCTTAAATGAGGAAAGCATGAGCAACCAAAGATTCTAAGAGTGGAATAGTCAGCCATTTTATTAAACAGAGCCTGAAAAGGGGAGACAATTTTAGGAAGTGTATGAGTGGGGAGTCTATTAATTAGATAGACAGCTGCTGTAAAGGCGTGATCCCAATATTCTATAGACAGATTAGCATGAGCAAGTAAAGTTAGCCCCATTTCTACTATGTTTCTATGTTTCCTTTCAATTGTACCATTTTGATGAGAAGTATGTGGGCAAGTTAGTCTGTGAACAATGCCAAGATCGTTAAGAAGGTTAGTAAAGGGCATGTACTTGCCACCAAAGTCAGACTGGAGAGCCTTAATAGTGGTATGAAACTGTGTTTTGACAAAGGCAAGAAACTGTTTGAAACTATTGAGGGCATCTGACTTATGTTTGAGAAAGTAGACCCAAGTATACTTAGTATACACATCTACAAATGTTATGTAGTAAGAAAAGCCTTGGCTAGAGGGGTTTGGTGATGGCCCCCACAAATCAGTGTGAATTAATTCAAAAGGGGCAGTATACACAATAGAAGTTAAATGAGCAAATATTCTATGAAACTTACCTACACAACATGAATTACAAAATTCAGCATTATCTTTATTGCTCAAAGGGATATTACACATGTTGAGAACAGTTTTAATAGCTACAGAATTAGCATGGCCCAACCTATGATTCCATAGAGAAAATTTATTGGAAATTGAATCTAAAGATTTTGAAACCTTATCAGATGAGATACAAGTTGAATTTGTTGCAGGTGACACAGAAGCCTTCAAGGTGAGATTGGGAAAGTAGTATAATCCTCTAGCATCAAGGTAGCCTTCTAAGATCACTTCCTTAGATGCCTGAGATTTGACAAAACATCTATTAGAATGGAACTCAAAGAAGACCTTGTTATCTTTAGAAAATTTAGAAACAGATAACAAATTTCGAGTTATGCTAGGAACATGAAGCATATCATTCAGACTCAGCAGATAACTGGAAGCATTGTTAGGCTTAATATGAGCTAACCCTACAGATTCAATTTTCAGACCTTTAC